CAATCAAATGAGGTCAGATCAAATAGCGCCAAGGTTCTAGGCAAGGTCAGCTTCTCTCCTGGTCATTCTCGCCTTCATTCCCATCGTGTTAACATCCGAACACAGATTTTCGGTACTGTAGAAGAATTTTCCCGCCCCCTCTCCATGCTCCAGCATTCTCTTCGGGCTTTCGTTACTTTTTTATACGCATTTGGCTCTTTGCCGATATTTAACCCCACCTTTGCTTAAGAGATTGCGTGATGGTTACTATTGTTCTTGATACCGGGTGAAATAAAAGCGTCACTATTGTGGCCAATTTATCCCACATTAGTAGTTATCATTTTATCTCCCGTCAATCTCGTCAACATACTATTGCAACGACACGCAGAGCTTCGGTCCCGTTTCGTGTTAAAAAGTCTGTTTTCAGAATGTTTTTTCACAATTGAAGAACGCTAGGTCTGCGTTTATCAAATTTATTAACTTCCATCGGTGTTTTAGAAACGACTACATCTTAGGTAGACAATTTATACAAGGAAAAGTAAGACCAAAAATAGGAAGGAATAAAAATGTGTTTCAAACTCAACCGGCGCTGTCTGGGTAAGGTAAAGGTTGATTTCACCGAACTAAAACTTCTCGGAAAATTTTTAGACGAGCGAGGTTTATTAGCAGTAAGGAAAATTGTCTATTAACTCTTTGACTCTCCTGTGTGACCAAGACAGAATTTCTCCTTACAGTATTTAAACAATACCAAGCAGACAAGTGATGAAAATAAAGAAAAAATATCAGAAAGGTATTCATTGATCCAATACCAAATTCTCCAATCTAACATCAGAAGAGCTGTATGGCAGAAAGTAAGGAGAGTTACTATTACTATTTAAACAGGCAATTTATGTGTGTTCATGATGCAACCATTTGCATGTAGTCCCTATGAATGCTTATCTCCCATTTTTCCACAGCGTTTGGACAGTTTTTCAACTCCTTAAGGACTGACTCTGGAGAAGTGTTGATAGAATTGAAAAGGGCTTCAATAATCCATTCATAGAGCCATTCCTTGTGTGGACCAGAACTTATGTGAAGCCCATAGACACCTAGAGTCTGAAAGCCTTTCAAGCTGACAAGATAGTCAGCATATTCTAGAACAGTTTCCTTTGGAAAAGATTTGTCACAGAGAGGAATCATGGTCAAAGCTTTAAAACCAGCTTTGTAAATGGAATTATGTAAAACTTTGGAACCATCTGCAACAACCATATGTTCCAGCTTGAAAACTCCAGCCTGTAGCATCGAAAAACAATTACAAAAGGTGGTTTTCATTGAACTTTCTATTTCTCAGTTCTCCACAGTTTTGACCCAATCCTAGGATCTTGGTTATGATTTTTCCCACAGGCAGCCCAGGCTCTCTTTGAGAACCACACAGGGAACACAATTTGCATATCGATTTATAAGGATTTGTATGGGATTTTCTAAGAGAAAACCAGGATTTCAAAAAACCGCTTAAATCAAGTGAAATCGGTAAAATAATGACACCAGCAGAAAGCAACACACGTATGGAATAAGGTACGCCATTTTTATTTAATATTTTCACTTTTAACTATCTCTATGGCTATCTTGTAGAAAATCCCATACAAATCTTTATAAATCGATATGCAAATTGTGTTCCTTGTGTGGTTCTCAAAGAGAGCTTGGGCTGCCTGTGCTTTTCCCCCTTCCCCTGAAGGTAGTAATGGTTTTCAGAAAATCACTCTTGAAAATGACTTTCATACTAAAAATGCTAGAATTTTGTGTATTTTCAAGTCCAAAATGATAATACTTCTACCCTTTAAAAATCTTTCATGCAAATTGTAGATACATCTTTAATCTTCAAAGAGCTGTGCGTTGATTTAGAAGCAAACACTTCTAAAACTCAGGAAAGTGAGTTTTACGAAGCCTAGTGGACCAAGGGCTCTCCACCTTCAAATTTACCACTTTATCAGTTATGAATAATTAATGATGTCCGTGCATTCTGACTGAGCCCTCTATAGAAAGACCCCTGATTGGTGTTATGCTCTTGAGTCTCTTTCCCACTCCTAAACCCTGTACCTCCCATGAGAGTGCATTCTGACTGAGCCCTCTATAGAAAGACCCCTGATTGGTGTTATGCTCTTGACTCTCTTGCCCACTCCTAAACCCTGTACCTCCCATGAGAGTGCATTCTGACTGAGCCCTCTATAGAAAGACCCCTGATTGGTGTTATGCTCTTGACTCTCTTGCCCACTCCTAAACCCTGTACCTCCCATGAGAGTGCATTCTGACTGAGCCCTCTATAGAAAGACCCCTGATNGGCTCGTGCTCGCAAAGTTTTCGCAACTGCTCGCATGCTCGCATTCTCCTTAACATGTGCTCGATTGCTCGAAATTTCGTTAATTCTGCTTTGTAGTTTTTGTTATACATATATAAACGATAAATCAGTTACGATATGGTTAAAGCAGAGGTTGAAACATCCTTTCCTCTGTCTTCAGTCTTTTTACAACAGTTCAGCCTGTAACTGTTTTGGAGGCACTGTATGTATTATAGAGAAAACGCACGAAGCTTCATGACAACTGAGCATTTCGTTTATTGGTTTCATTTTTATCATATTTCATCGTCGCAGGCTTTCTGCTTGAGAGGGGTACAGTTCCGCAGTTCAAATATGTGATCTTTCATCTATCCACTTGTTTCTCCACCATCTACGGGTATATTACGAACTCACAACGTGACCCGCAGCTCCCAGCTGGCTTGATAGCTCAGTTAGTAGAATACTGCAACGGTGTCGCACAGGTCATAGGTTCTGATCCCGTCCAGGCCATAGGTTCTGATATCATGAATTTTTTTCAGGCTTTAATTTCACAACTTCTTAAGTTGTGTGTATAACTGCAATAATCAATCGTGTTCATAGAAACAGGGTCAGTTTGTAGAGCTCCTTTAATTTATTCTGCTTGATGTTGTAAGATAGTTTTGCTTTTTCCCTCTGTAGATTTGCTTTCCTTGCTTGAAGCTAGTCTTACAATCGTTGTTTCTTTGACCGGTTTTCTGGGTATTTTACCCAGTGATTTGAATCTTCTTTCGCTTGAACAAGAAAACGTGACTGTAACACGATCCATTTACCAGGAAATTCTGATATGGTTAGGAGGAAGCTCGACATGCATGATGAGAGGTGACATAATCTCGTGAGGAGACAAAATTACTTGCGAACCTTTGTTGATCTAAATTCTTATTTATTGTAGCAAATATCCGGGTTTGTGGAAATGATGGATTTTCCAGTGGGCAATGGGGAATAAAATGGACGGAGTCATAGTATTTTGAAACAGTGTACTCGGATCGCATTTTGTAGCGGTTTTTCCAACCTTGGAAGCTTCCTGGCCACTAGTAGAATAATAAACTATAGGTGGTTTGCACGTTACGTCATTGCCGCCATGTTGGTTGACGTAAACAATAATAATAATAGTTCATCTTTATTGAGGATGCCAACATCACAAAAAAGTGGTTTACAGAAGGGTACTCTAAAAGTAACTAAATAAAATATAATTACGTAAAAATATCTCATTAGCCAATTTGATATCTCATTAGCTCCTTTTGTTCGTCCACCAGCATTTGTTCCTTTCACTATTGTTACCTGTGTCTCTAGAGATTGGTTGCAAACCACCTATTATTGGATTCGGTTTTTGTGATACCGGAATAATCAAGGTCGAGGTAAGTGTTATCAGCCTCAGCCTTCGGCTTCGGCTGATAACACAAACCTAGACCTTGATTATACCG